TATAAAAGACACGGTACTGATTCCCAAATGATCGGGAAACATGTAATCCAAACTTACCTTCATGGGATTTTCATCATAAGTTGGGGTTCCCAGGTCCATCTCAGCTTCATGCTCAAGGGTGGCATCATCTCCTGGGCTCTCCCAAGTAGGCGGATCCCATTGAGTCTGCCTAGAAGGAGGTAAGAACAGTCATGCTATCATAACTAGAAAATAAGAGAACCCTGGCATAGGCATCTCTGCTCATACAGACATAAGACATATCCCTGCTCACTGTGTAGCACACCAGATTTCTGTGGGTAATGATATGGAAAATTGGTTGGGTGCCAAAGAAAACAGTAAAGCCAAATATTTTCCCTACCTCTCACTTGACTCTTAATGTCCTGGAAATAGAATTCACCAAAGCCAAAAAAGTACAGGGAGTAGGTGCCTACTTATGTGACCCCTCTGTAGGTAGAGAAATCAATAGTGATTGCATCTAGCATGTACCTGGAGCAAAATAAAACAAATCACAACACATCCCTCTCAATCCTTAATTTTGTGAACTGTCCTTTGCTTTAGCAACATTCCTGTTTGTAGGTTCTTCCTCTTTGGTTTAATGACAGCACAGAAAACATGCACAGGTTAAAAACTCATACCCCCTGCTAAAAATATTCTCAACTAACTGCAAAAAGAAAGACTCAGCTATGTTACCTCACTGCATGTTTCTAGTTGTTTTGAAAATAAGCAGGAGATTTTAAAAAATAAACAACTAGTTCTGTAAAGATATTCATGTTCTGAAGACTGCTGAAGTCAGCTCTCCAGGGAATACTCTTGGCAGTGACCTACAATGTCAAAAGCTTTAATGGAGGCCAGGTACAGTGGCTTACACCTACTATTCTTAGCACTCTGGGACGCTGAAGCGAGAGGATCACCTGAGTTCAGAAGTTCCAGACTAAGCTAAGCAATAGGCAAGACCCAGCTCTACTAAAAATTAGAAAAAATTAGCTGAGTATGGGGGCAAGTGCCTGTAGACCCATCTTCTCAGGAGGCTAAGGCAGGAGGACTGCTTGAGCCCAGGAGTTTGAGGTTGCAGTGAGCTATGATGATGCCACAGTACTCTAGTTTGGACTACAAAGCAAGACTCTGTCTCAAAAAAACAAACAAAAAAACCAAGATTCAAAGGAGATAACGTATCTGGCAGTCATTATAGTACTTTCTTCTACTTTCCTACCACAATCTTTTTTGTTTTGTGGTAGTGACAGGACTTCCATGATAACTACTCTAGTCTTAATCCTTCCACCTTGGCCTCCTACAGTGCTATGCTTATAGGCATGAGCCTACCACACAAATCTCTAGTCAACAACATTAAAGGCAGTTATGCAGATTATTGTGAAAATACTCTTACCTCTGACCTATGGAAATAACTAAAAAATAGGCATAAGAGTTCTACTATAATAAAAGATGCATAAGCAACTGTGAGAATATATATATATATATATATATATATATATATATCTGTTCCTAGCTGCCAAATAAAGAAAACCTTGTAAAAACACAGGAAGGTACACATACAAAAAAGAAATACAACCTTTTTCATTTTTTTTCATTTTTTTTTTTATTGAATGGTAACCATTTTCATTTTTGAAAGACTGATAGTATATAAAAAGCTTGTTTTGGTGTTGAGAAACAAAGTTCTGGTTACATCTGCAGATATTCGTTCTAAAAATCAGTACAAATTCAGTTAGCAGCATAATGAGGGCTCATTTTATAAAGGTATTTAAAAAGGTAACAAGAAAGGCATTCTAAGCAGAAAACAGAGAAATATTTTACCAGAATGAACAAGAGCAAGAATCCATCTACACAATAAATAGAAAAATAAGCTGGGTGTGGTGGGTGCCTGTAGTCCCAGCCACTAGGGAGGCTGAAGCAGAAGGATCACTTGAATCCACAAGTGTGAGGTTGCAGTGAGCTATAATGCCACTGTACACTGTGACCCAGGTGACAGAGTGAGACCTTATCTCAAAAATAAACAAACAAATTCTATAACAATTAGCTTCTATAAAATAGATTAGTAATAAAGCAAAATATGCATCCTAACAATTTACATAAAATCATATACTGATAAGTGTACACACTTTAAGTATACACAGAAAGAACATATACGCAACATAAAGCTATCTGTCCAAAAATGTAATAAAGAAAACATTAAGTGAGTCATCTATTTCTAGTACTTATACTTCCTATGTAGTACTTTTCTATATTTATTTTCTAAAACAAGCATAAATAATTTTCATAGGAATTAAGCAATTATTCATAAGAATAAACAATCTAGCTGTCTTCAATTTGGAACAAATGTCCTGTTGTTAAAAAAATTTAAAGGAGGGCAGTGTCTGTGGCTCAGTGAGTAGTGTACCAGCCCCATATACCGAGGGTGGCAAGTTCAAACCCAGCCCCGGCCAAACTGCAACAATAACAAAAAAAAA